GTGTGTTTAAGTAGTGTATGATGTGTGTTTAAGTAGTGTGTGGTGTGTGTTTAAGTAGTGTATGGTGTGTGTTTAAGTAGTGTATGTTGTGTGTTTTAGTAGTGTATGTTGTGTGTTTAAGTAGTGTGTGTTGTGTGTTTTAGTAGTGTATGTTGTGTGTTTAGTAGTGTATGTTGGTTTTTGTAGTGTATGTTTTGTGTTTAAGTAGTGTATGTTGTGTGTTTTAGTGGTTATGTTGTGTGTTTTGTAGTGTATGTTGTTGTTTAAGTAGTGTTGTTGTTTGGGGTTTTGTATGTTGTTGTGTGTTTAAATAGTGTGTGTTGTGTTTTTAGTAGTGTATGTTGTGTGTTTAAGAGTGGTGTTTTGTGTTTTAGTAGTGTTGTTTTATTTTAAGTAGTGTATGTTGTGTGTTTTAGTAGTGTTGTTTTGTGTTTAAGTAGTGATGTTGTGTGTTTTGTGTGTATGTTGGGTTTTTTGTATGTATGTTTTGTGTTTAAGTGGTGTGTTGTTGTTTTTGTGGATGTTGGGTTTAAGTGGGGTGTGTTGTGGTTTTAGGTGTATGTTTGTGTTTTTAGAGTGTAGTTTTTGTGTTTTTTTAGTGTATGGGTTTTGTTTTAAGTGTGTTGGGTTTTGGGTTTTGTAGTGTTGTTGTGTGTTTAAGTAGTGTGTTGTGTGTTTTTTAGTGTTGTTGTGTTTTAAGTAGTGTTGTTGTGTGTTTAAGTAGTGTGTGTTGGTGTTTTAGTAGTGTTGTTGTGTGTTTAAGTGTGTGTGTTGTGTGTTTTAGTGTGTTGTTGTGTTTTTAGTAGTGTATGTTGGTGTTTTAGTAGTGTTTTTGTGTGTTTTAAATAGTGTGTGGTTGTTTTGTTTAGTAGTGTATGTTGTGTGTTTTAGTAGGTATGTTGGTGTTTAAGTAGTGTTTGTTGTGTGTTTTTGTAGTGTTGTTGTGTGTTTAAGTGTGTGTGTTGTGTGTTTTAAATAGTGATGTTGTGTTTTTAGTAGTGTTGTTGTGTGTTTAAATAGTGTGTGTTGTGTGTTTTTTGTGTGTAGTTGTGCTTTTAAGTAGTGTTGTTTGTGTTTAAGTAGTGTGTGTTGTGTGTTTTAGTAGTGGGATGTTGTGTGTTTTAGTAGGTTTGTTGGTGTTTAAGTAGTGTGTGTTGTTTTGTTTAGTATGTGTTGTGTGTTTAAGTAGTGTGTGTTTTGTGTTTTAGTAGTGGTATGTTGTGGGTTTTTAAGTAGTGTGTGTTGGTGTTTTAGTAGTGTATGTTGTGTGTTTAAATAGTGGTGTTGTGTGTTTTTAGTGTTTTTTTTTAGTATGTGTTTTGTGTTTAGTTGTTTTGTGGTGTTTAAGTAGTGTTGTTGTGGTTTTAAATAGTGTATGTTGTGTGTTAAGTAGTGTATTTTGGGGTTTTGTAGTGTATGTTTTGTGTTTGTAGTGTATGTTGTGTGTTTAAGTAGTGTTTTTGTTTTTTTAGTAGTGTATGTTGTGTGTTTAAGCCATGGGTTGTTTTGGCGAATATTTTTATATTTAAGTGGGCCCGTCAATGGGACGGCTGGTTTTTATATGGACTTTGGGGTGTGGAGATTAATGTGTGGATTTTGTATTTTATATGACCAAACTTTAACTAGTAGCAGAGTTACTAGTGATCAATTTTAAATATTGAAATGTGAAGAGGGAGGATTTGTGTTGTGTACCTTTTTATATTACAAAATGGGGTTTATTTTTTCCTGGTAATCAAAAACCTAAGTTTAATACCTGTTTAAAATTTATTTTAGTTAGGGAGATGGGGGCTCGAGGGTGATGTTTTTGAATAACTTCATACATACAGTGACAAGGTTTATTATTGACTATGTTAATTTAATCCTGCGGGAAATATAATTAAAAAGGAGTTATGAAAGGGAAAACTCTAAAATGTAACCACCTTCCAAATTCTTCCCTCAACCCTTACCCTCCACACCTCTCAGCCCAAATCCTATCGTACAACCCCCCAAAAACCCTCCCTTCACTAATTTTTCCCCCAACCCCTTTTCCCAAAACCCCAAAAAGCAAAAAATTCCTCCAACCCTTACAGCACAAATATTCCCCACAACCTTCCTTCCAACTGCAACAACCTCATTACCCCAAGAAAACTTACCAAAAATCTTTTAAACCCTCATAAATAACAAATAAATTTACCCAATTAAATTTAAAGAATTCTCCAAAAATTACAAACCCCTTTTTAAAAACTTTATTAATCCAAAAACCCTTAAATATTTAAAAAATCATTAAAAAATTTCCAACATAAAAAAAACCCCTAAATTTTAAACCACCAAATTAAAAAAAATATAATAAATCTTAAAAACCTATAAATTCAAACTACACCATAAAATAGACAACCTTTAAAACCTATTTAACACAAATAAAACCATCAATACTAAACAAAATATTCCTAACAAAAAACCTCTAAAAAGGGATCTAAACCCAAAATCCTTAAAAACTTTAAACAAACCTTTTAAAACCCATTCAAATATTTAAAACTCAATAAAAATTAAACTCTAAAAAAACTACTCTTTAACCACCATATTTAAAAAATCTTCAAAATATTAAAACCACAATTACCCAAAATATTACAACCTTTTAAAAAACCCAATTAAACACAATAAATAAAAAATTCTACCCAAATTTAAAAATCCTTTACAACCTTATTAAACCTACCCAACATATTTAAAAATCACAATTATAAACCTCTTCAAATTTAACCACAACTCCATCAATAATATTAACACAATCACTCATTAACCTACTCATAAAAAAACATCCAAAATTTACCTCTTCTCTCCATACCATTGCACTATTTTTTAAACCCCCTTAATTTTCCAAACCCCCCCCAAAAAAATTTAAAAACTCCCATCCCCCCTTTTTTTAAACCCCCAAAATTTCTCTAAATTAAAAAAAACCCCCCCTTAAAAACCCCCCAAACCCCCTTTTAAAAACCTCCCCTTACCTAAAACCCCTCCCTTTTTCTCCAAACCCCCCCCCCCAAAAACCCCCCCAAATAAAAAAATCCTTTTAACCTCCCCCAAAAAACCCCTACAATAACAACCCCCTTTAAACCCCATCCAATTTACTCCCCCCCCTTTTTAAAACCCCTACAATTTAAAACCCCCTTTTTTCCCCACAACCTCCTCTCCACAACCTCCTCTCCACAACCTCCTTTCACACAACCCTCCTCTCCACAACCTCCTTTCCACAACCCTCCTCTCCAAACCCTTTCTCCACAACCCTCCTCTCCACAACCCTCCTTTCCACAACCCTCCTCTCCACAACTCTCCTTTCCACAACCCTCCTCTCCACAACCCTTTTCTCCACACCCTCCTCTCCACAACCCTTCTCTCCAACAACCCTCCACTCCACATCCCTCCACTCCACAACCCTCCTCTCCACAACCCTTTTCTCCACAACCCTCCTCCCACAACCTTCCTCTCCACATCCCTTCTCTCCACAACCCTCCCCTCCACATCACTTCTCTCTACAACCCTCCTCTCTCCACAACCCTCCTCCCACAACCCCCTTTCCACAACCCTCCTCTCCACAACTCTCCTTTCCACAACCCTCCTCTCCACAACCCTTTTCTCCACAACCCTCCTCTCACAACCTTTCTCTCCACAACCCTCCACTCCACATCCCTCCACTCCACAACCCTCCTCTCACAACCCTTTTCTCCACAACCCTCCTCTCCACAACCTTCCTCTCCACAACCTCCTCTCCACAGCACTCTCTCTCACAACCCTCCTCTCCACAACCCTTTTCTCCACAACCCTCCTCTCGACAACCTTCCTCTCCACAACCTCCACTCCATAACCCTCACTCCACAACCCTCCACTCCACAACCCTCCTCTCCACAACTCTCCTTTCCACAACCCTCCTCTCCACAACCCTTTTCTCCACAACCCTCCTCTCCACAACCTTTCTCTCCACAACCCTCCACTCCACATCCCTCCACTCCACAACCCTCCTCTCCACAACCCTTTTCTCCACAACCCTCCTCTCGACAACCTTCCTCTCCACAACCCTCCACTCCATAACCCTCACTCCACAAACCTCCACTCCACAACCCATCTCTTCACATCCTTTCTCTCCACAACCCTCCTCTCCACATCCCTTCTCTCTACAACCCTCCTCTCCACAACCTTCCTCTCCACAACCCTCCACTCCACAAACCTCCTCTCCACAACCCTCCTCTCCACATCCCTTCTCTCCACAACCCTCCCCTCCACATCACTTCTCTCTACAACCCTCCTCTCCAAAACCCTCCTCTCCGCAACCCTCCCTTCCACAACCCTCCACTCCACAACCATCCTCTCCACAACCCTGCACTCCACAACCCTCCACTCCACATTCCTTCTCCACAACCCTCCACTCCACAACCATCCTCGCCACAACCCTCCACTCCACAACCATCCTCTTCACAACCCTCCCATCCAGAACCCTTCTCTCCACAACCCTCCACTCCACAACCATCCTCTCTACAGCCCTCCACTCCACAATCCTCCACTCCACATCCCTTCTCTCCACAACCCTCCACTCCACAACGCTCCTCTCCACAACCTTCATCTTCACAACCGTCCATTCCACAACCTTCCTCTCCACAACCCTCCTCTCCACAACCCTCCTCTCCACATCCCTTCTCTCCACAACCCTCCTCTCCACATCCCTTCTCTCTACAACACTCCTCTCAGCAGCCTTCCTCTCTACAACCTTCCTCTCCACATCCCTTCTCTCCACAACCTTCCTCTCCACAACCCTCCTCTCCACAACCCTCCTCTCCACAACCTTCCTCTCCACAACCCTCCACTTCACAACCCTCACTCCACAACCTCCTCTCCACATCCCTTCTCTCCACAACGCTCCTCTCCACAACCTTCCTCTCCACAACCTTCCTCTCCACAACCTCCACTCCACAACCCTCCTCTCCACAACCCTCCTCTCCACATCCCTTCTATCCACAACCCTCCTCTCCACATCACGTCTCTCTACATCTCTCCTCCCCACAACCCTCATCTCCACAACCTTCCTTTCCACAACCTCCACTCCACAAACTCCTCTCCACAACCCTCTCTTCGACAACCCTACTCTCCACAACCCTCCACTCAACAACCATCCTCTCCACAACTCTGCACTCCACAACCCTCCACTCCACAACCATCATCGCCACAACCCTCCACTCCACAACCCTCCTCTCCACAACTTTCCCTTCCACAACTCTTCTCTCCACAATCTTCCTCTCCACAACCCTCCTCTCCACAACCCTCCTCTCCACAACCTTCCACTCCACATCCCTCCACTTCACAACCCTCCACTCCACAACCCTCCTCCCCACATCCCTTCTCTCCACAACCCTCCTCTCCACATCCCTTCTCTCTACAACCCTTCTCTCCACAACCTTCCTCTCCACAACCCTCCACTCCACAACCCTCCTCTCCACAACCCTCCTCTCCACACCCCTTCTATCCACAACCCTCCTCTCCACATCACGTCTCTCTACATCTCTCCTCCCCACAACCCTCATCTCCACAACCCTCCTTTCCACAACCCTCCACTCCACAAGCCTCCTCTCCACAACCCTCCCTTCGACAACCCTACTCTCCACAACCCTCACTCAACAGCCATCCTCTCCACAACTCTGCACTCCACAACCCTCCACTCCACAACCATCATCGCCACAACCCTCCACTCCACAACCCTCCTCTCCACAACTTTCCCTTCCACAACTTCTTCTCTCCACAACCCTCCACTCCACAGCCATCTTCTCCACAACCCTCCACTCCACAACCCTCCACTCCACATCCTGTCTCTCCACAACCCTCCACTTCACAAGCATCCTTTCCACAACCCTCCTCTCCATAACCTTCCTCTCCATAACCTTCCTCTCCACAACCCTCCTCTCCACAACCCTCCTCTCCACAACCCTCCTCTCCACAACCCTCCACTCCACAACCTTCCTCTCCTCAACCCTCCTCTCCACAACCCTCCTCTCCACTACCCTCCTCTCCACAACCCTCCTCTCCACAACCCTCCTCTTCACAACCCTCCTCTCCACAGCCCTCCTCTCCACAACCCTCCTCTCCACAACCCTCCTCTCCACAACCCTGCCCCATTTCTCCCACTCCCTCCTTAGGCCTTCCCTCCTTTCCTCCTTGTTCCTTCCTCTATGCCTTTCTCGCTGCGTCTCTCGCTGCCTCTCTCCTTCACATCCTGCTTGTCTCTCCCTCCCTGCCTCTCTCCCTGCCTCCGTCCCTGCCTCTCTCCCTGCCTCCGTCCTTTCCTCTCTTCCTGCCTCTCTCCCTGCCTCTCTCCCTCCCTCTCTCTCTGCCTTCTTCCCTGCCTCTCCCTGCCTCTCTTCCTGCCTCTATCACTGCCTCTCTCTCTGCCTCTCTCCCTACCTGACTCCCTTTCTCTCTTCCTACCTCTCTCCCTTCCTCTGTCCCAGCCTCTCTCCCTGCCTCCCTCCCTTTCTATCTTCCTACCTCTCTCCCTCCCTCCTCCCTGCCTCCCTCCCTTCCTCTCTTCCTGGCTCTCTCCCTGCCTCTCTCCCTCCCTCTCCCTACCTCCCTCCTGTGGAAATTTATTTGGTCCCTAAAGTTCCACAGGACAGATCCAGTATGGCCGTACGGGACGGCTGGGCTGGATGGCCCTTATACCCCACCCAAACAGGGAAGCATTCTCTTGTCCGCGATGGATTTTTGGTAGGCATGTATTTAATTTATAGATTTACTCTTCAGGGAAGGAGTAGGTAGTTTTACTAAGGTTTACTAAGGCATCTGTAGATAATGATAATGTAGACCTAAGACCTTAACATAGGTAGTAATAGGCCGATAATGTAGGCAAACACTAGGATAAGTTAGCTAGGGAGAACTGGCAGCCCTAGTTTGAACGATGAGACGAGGGTCTGGAAGAGGGACCAGCTCGTTCTTCTTAAGACAGACACCAACTGGACAAGACGTGCCACGATCAGCAGACGGCGCCCCCACGTGTCTTCACATTTGAGACCTGGGGAAATCTGGTAGAGGCACCTCGATGTACCGTAGATGACCTCCTCCGTCAGGCCCATACAGTAAGACAAGACCTTCACTTTTTTTCTCGTAGATTACTGGCCAGTGTCTTGGGAGATCGTGAGTGAGTTTTAACTGTGGGCCCGGATGCAACAGGTTGAGCATACCCAGTAAGTACCAGTGTCTCAGAGCAGTCTAGAAGCTAGTGTCTGAGTCTGCATAGTCATACTAGGGGATACATACCCTCTTGGATATAGGAATTTCTGAGGTGCAGGCAGGACACTAATTACAATTGAATATTGCAGGAATTAATGCTCCCGGTTGCACGTGGTTTCTGAGGGGGAGTCCAAAGGGGCTAAGGCTAGCTTAGGGAAGTGAAGATCAGGATATATGCTGCAACACCAAGTAAGTTAGTCCTTTATACGTGCATGCAGGCGAGGTTTCTTGCAATAGCAATCATTTGTGAAAATCGGTCCTATAAGCCACTTGTGAGGCTGAGGTACCCACCTCAGAGCTCGGTGTCAACAGAGTTTGCCAGGGTAGGTGACTCACTTGGAGGCAGTCCACACAAATTTTCACACCTCCCTTCCTCTCTTCCTGCCTCTCTTCCTGTCTCTCTCCCTGCCTCTCTCCCTGCCTCTCTCCCTGCCTCCCTCCCTGCCTCTCTTCCTGCCTCTATTCCTGCCTCTCTCCCTGCCTCCCTCCCTTCCTGTTTTCCTGCCTCTCTCCCTGCCTTTCTCCCTGCCACTCTCCCTGTCTCTCTCCCTGCCTCCCTCCCTTCCTCTCTTCCTGCCTCTCTCCCTCCCTCCTCCTGCCTCCTTCTCTTCCTCTCTTCCTGCCTCTCTCCCTGCCTCTATCCCTGCCTCTCTCCCTGCCTCCCTCCCTCCGTCGTTTCCTGCCTCTCTCCCTGCCTCCCTCCCTGCCTCCCTGCCTCCCTGCCTCCCTCCCTACATACTACCCTCCCTCGCAGTCTTGTTAACGACGCTACTAGTCTCGTCACCACCAACATTGTACTTGTTAAACAACTATTTACGTCACGTCTCGTAAACCTTCCAAATATAAAGCCGTGTCATAGTCGTGTGTACGCGTGCGTGCGTGAGTGCGTGCGTGCGTGCGTGAGTGAGTGCGTGCGTGCGTGCGTGAGTGAGTGCGTGCGTGCGTGAGTGAGTGCGTGCGTGCGTGCGTGCGTGCGTGAGTCCGTGCGTGCGTGAGTCCGTGCGTGCGTGAGTCCGTGCGTGCGTGCGTTCGTGCGTGAGTGAGTGCGTGCGCGCGTGCGTGCGTGCGTGAGTGAGTGAGTGCGTGCGTGCATGCGTGTGTGCGTGCGTGCGTGCATGCCTGCGTGCGTGCGTGCGTGAGTGCGTGCGTGCGTGCGTGCGTGCGTGAGTGCGAGCGTGCGTGCATGCGTGGTGCGTGGGTTGTGGCCAAGTTCACGGCAGGGACAGGGGAAGATGTTAACTCAGGGACTGGAACACGTACCAATCGGGACGGGGGAGATGCCCCTCAGGGACGTGGGAAGACTCATTGACGTGGAAACCGTACCATTAGGGATGGGAACATACCATTAAAGGGACTTTAAAAAGTCCTTTCGGGACGGGAAACAGACCACTCAAGGGGACGTGGGAAGATGTTATATCAAGACGTGGTAAGCTACCCTGGGGGACGTGGGAAGATGTTCATATCAAACGGGGTAAGACGCCCATTAGGGCTGGGAAGATGTCCCACTCAGGGATTGAAGACGTCCACTCGGGGACGTGGAAGACGTCCCATCAGGGACGGGGGAAAGAGTACCCTCAGGGACGTTGGAAACGTCCCCTCGGGGAGTGGAAAGACGTACCACTCGGGGACGTGGGAAGATGTACCACTCGGGACTTTGGGAAAAGAGTACCACTCAGGACGGGGAAAAAGGGACGTACATCAGGGAGTGGGAAGATACCACTCGGACGTGGGAAGATGTACCCTCAGGGAGGGGGAAAGACGTCCCATCAGGGAATGGGATGGCGTACCACTGGGGACGAGGGAAGATTACCACTCAGGGACAGGGGTGGCGTCCCACTCGGGACGGGGGAAGAGTACCACTCAGGGACGTGGAAAGACGTACCATGGGACGTGGGAAGATGTACCACTCAGGGACGTGGAAAGACGTACCACTCAGGGACGTGGGAAGATGTACCACTCAGGGACGTGGAAAGACGTACCACTCAGGGACGAGGGAAGATGTACCACTCAGGGACGTGGAAAGATGTACCACTCAGGGACGTGGGAAGATGTACCACTCAGGGACGTGGAAAGACGTCCACTCAGGGCGTGGGAAGTGTACCCCAGGGAGGGGAAAGACTCCCACTCGGGACGGGGGAAAGATGTACCACTGGGGCGTGGAAAAAGCGTACCATCAGGGACGGGGGAAACGTACACTCGAGACGAGGGAAGATTACCACTCAGGGAGGGGGAAATAAAAACCATCAGGGCGAGGGAAGATGTCCCATCAGGGCGGGGGAAGAGTACCATCGGGCGTGGGAAGACGTCCACTCAGAGACGAGGGAAGATGTACCATCGGGACGAGGGAAGATTACCACTCAGGGACGGGGAAGATGTCCCACTGGGGGACGGGGGGAAGTGTACCACTAGGGACGTGGGAAGACTACCCCGGGAGTGGAAGATTTCCCACTCGGGGACATGGGATGGCGTACCACTCGGGGACGGGGAAGATGTACCACTCGGGTCGGGGGAAGGGTACCACTCGGGAAAGTGAACTGAGACCACGTGAAACCCCAAACTAAGCCACGTGAACCCCAAACAAAGATCACGTGCACCCCAAAACTAAGACACGTGAACACCAAAAGTCAGTGCACACCAACAAAACCCGTGCACACAAATAAGATCAGTGCACACCAACAAGTTCATGTGCACCCAACTAAGATCACGTGCACACCAAACAAACATCACTGACACAAACTAGATCAGTGCCACCAATTAAGATCACGTGCTCCCCAAACTAACATCACGTGCACACCAACTAAGACCCGTGAACCAACTAAGACCACGTGCACACCAACAAAGATCAGTGCACACAAACAAGTCCGTGCACACCAACTAAGTCACGTGCACACCAATTAAAATCCGTGCACACCAACTAAGATCCGTGCACACCAATAAGATCTGGCCCCCAATAAGATCAAGTGCACCCCAATAGTATTGCACACCAACTAAGATCACGTGCACCCCAACAAAACATACGTGCACACCAACAAAGATCAGTGCCCCCTAACATCACGTGCCCCCCAATACATCATGCCACCAAGACCACGTTCACCCCAAAGACACGTGCACCCCAACTAAGATCACGTGCACACCAACAAGATACGTAAACACCAACAAAAATCACGTGCACACCAACTAACATCACGTGCACACAACTAACATCACGTGCACACCAACTAAGATCACGTGCACACCAACTAAGACCACGTGCACACCAACTAAGATCACGTGCACACCAACTAAGATCACGTGCACACCAACTAAGATCACGTGCACACCAACTAAGACATTTGCACACAAACTAAGACCACGTGACAAACTAGTCACGTGCTCATCAATTATGTCACGTGCACCCACAAGACCACGTGCACACCAATTAAGATCCGTGCTCACCAATAAGCCCAGTGCAACCAACTGATCACGTGCACACCAACTAAGTCACGTGCCCCAACAAAGATCACTTGCCCCCAAAAAACCACGTGCACCCCAAAACTAAGATCACTCACACCAACAAAGATCACTGCACACCAACAAGTCACGTGCACAAAAACTAAGATCCGTGATCCCAACTAAGTCACGTGAAACCCCAAATTAAGTCACGTGCACACCAACAAAGATCAGTGACCCCAACTAAGATCAGTGACCCAAATAAGATCAAGTGCCACCAACAAAGACCACGTGCACACCAACAAGTCACGTGCCATATAAAATCACGTGCACACCAATAGGATCGTGACCCCAACTAACATCACGTGCAACAAACTAAGATCACTGCACCCAACTAACACACGTCACACCAACAACATCAGTGCACACCAACTAAATCCGTGCAAACCAACAAAAACCCACTCACCCAACTAAATCACGTGCACCCAACTACATCCGTGCACCAACAAAAGATCACGTGCACCCAACTAAGACCACGTGCACCCCCAACAAATCACGTGCACCCCCAAACTAAGATTGTGCACCCCAATAAGATCGCGTGCACACCAAGTAAGATCACGTGCAACGAACTAGACCACGTGACACCAATAAGATCACATGCACATCAATTAAAAATCACGTGCAAAACCAATTTAAGATAAACGTCACCGAACTAAGATCCGTGCAAAACCAACATCACGTAACCCCAACAAGATCACGTGACACCAATAAGATCAGTGACATCAACTAAGACACGTGCACACCAAACTAAGATCACTTGCACACCAACAAAGATCACGTGCACCCCAACAAGTCACGTGCCCCCAACTAAGATCCGGCACACAACTAAGACCACGTGCACACCAACTAAGTCCGTCACACCATTAAAGACCACGGACACCAACTAAGACCACGTGCACCCCAACTAAGACACGTCACACCAATGAACAACATGAACAGAAAACTGAGACACGTGCACCCCAAACTGAGACCATGTGAAAACCAAACCCCAAAGGGCTTGACTCGCCCCCCGAAACCTCAACTGGGTGATACACCCACACACAACACACACACACACACACCCAAACACACACACACACACACACACACAATTCCAAAAGAGAGACAAGGGCCAGATTATAGAGAACAAACGAGTCGAGGGGAACGAGTGCCCCCAACACACGCAGCAAACACACACCCCACACTCACAACCCCTCCCCCCCAAAATACGCAGTAAAATCCCAATAGCCCCTTCCTGAACCCCCACAAACACCCCCACCCCATCCCCATCCAAACCCCCCCCCCCCACCCCCACCCCCACCCACCCCCACCCCACCCCCCCCCCCACAAACCCCCGGAATACTGTGTTGGACAGGAAACTGAAGGTATGGTACACCAATGCTGATTGTAAAATGAATGAGCGGGAGGAGTGGCACGAAAGAATCACAGAGGCATCACCAGAATCTAGCTTCACAAAAACCCAAGGGTCTCGGGAATGATAACAAATCCCATTTTTCCCAAACCGGATTCGACCCGAGAAAGACAAAAAAGAATGGGGAAATGGAAATGCTCATCAAAAACCAGTGGGATTTTCAGGAGCTGGAAAGAGATGGAGGAGAAGCAAGGGACTACATAATAGGAAGACTTCCAATTGGATTCCCCAAGCTGGTGTTGCAGTGATGTAAAACCCCACACAAAATAGACGGGCCCAAAGACAAAAATATGATGGAGAACAGAGAGATGGTTACACACTGGCTGATTTCCCAAAAGGGCCTATGTGGGCAGGGAAAGTTCTGTTGTGGGTGATTTTCATCGAAAACGAAATCGACGGGGAAAATTGGGAAAAAAGGGGGGACCCCAAAACCTTTTGGGGCTAGATGGGGGGTGGTAGGGAAAAAACCTCATCATCAACCGTTAGGATATACCAGAGAGGGAGGATAAAAAGGGAAAAGACGGCCTAGCATTTCTTGAACATGCAGATTTTGGGGACTCACTTTATGATCCTGGTTCAAAATTAAAAACATAATGGTTACAAGTGGGAGGGAGGCAGGAAGGGCAGGAGCATGAAGCCAAATTACAAGAGGGGAACTCAAAGCAGAGGAATTTCCTGCACAAGGTCCGGGGGACAAAAAAAGGGAAAGGGGAAAAGATAATGAGATGATGGAATATGTGAAAAAATATGCAAGGAAACAGAGGAAGATTTGTACCCAAGGGTAACGAAAAATGAGAAGGCCGGGAAGGCCTTGGTTCACCCCAAAGGTATGGAGGCTAAATACAAGTGTGCTAGAGAATGGAAGAAGTATGAACGGCAAATGACCTAGCAGAACAAGGAGAGTAGTCGAAGAGTAAGAAATGAATATGCACAGGTAAGGGGGAGGCCCAAAAACAATATGATAATACACAGGGAAACCCAAGTCTGCCCCAAAAGTGTTTTTAAAGTCACTTCAAAGAAAAAAAAGGGTTTAAATACCAGGAAATCAGACTGAAGAAAAAAGGGAAAGGGGGTTTAAAAAAAGCCCTAAAGTTTTGAGGAGCTCAACATGAGATTAAAGAAGTATTCACAGTTGAGACAGAAGGACTCCAAAAAGGGCAGAGAGGCGAGATACACTAAAAAGTGCTGGACAGAACTACAACCGAGGAGGGGTGAATGGCTGTAAGTGAATAGTATCTAAAAGGCGAGGGGGCCGGATAACATCTCATTTGGGCCCTGAGAGGGAGCAGAGGTTGCTTGTGTACCACTACCAACCAACCATTTATCGAATCGGGCGGTACCGGGTTTTTGGAAAAACTGAAAATGTAGAAAAAATTTTTTAAAAAAAAGGGGAACAAAAATACAGACCAATTAAAGACATATATTTATTTTTACATTCAAAGTCGGGAGAAGATCATCAAAAAAAAAAAGGGGTGGACACCAGAAAGGAATAAAATTAAAAACGACAGCCAGCAGGGATTCAGAGCGGGAAATCCGTACCCCAAACCACTGAGTTTATACAAACCGGAGTTTACCTGGAGGGGGTTTCAGGGGTCACCCCCTGAGACCAAGCCTCAGGGTGGATAGGGTCAAAATAACCCAGGCTTTTATGCTGGCCGCACCAAACTAATGTCGAACCACACCCCGGTTGGCAGGTACTGACTTTAGGTGCCTGCCCATGTCTTCCTGAAGACGCCGGGGTCTATTGGTAACCCCCTTTATTTTGCGGGGAGGCATTTAAAAACGTCTTGGGTCCTGGCACAAATTTGGGTTTTGTCTCTCAATGTACTTGTGATCCCCCCTGCTTTTCACCCGGGGAATGTTGCTTCCTGTCAAGCATTTGCTTTCTGGGGAGTGTTTTCGTTGCTTGGGTATTAATCCCCCCAGGCCCTTTCCAAAGTGTATATTTCATGTCTCTCACCGCGTTCCGGGGAATACAGATCAAGGACCTTAAACCCTTTCCCCCTTATCATACTTACTGTGCCGTGAAAAGTTTTATACTTTCCCAGATGTCCGTTAGGACGAAAAAAAAACAAAAGAAGGGTGGGAGTTTGCTTTTTCTTGGACTGTAAGAATTTTTTTGACGAATTTCCACAAAAGAGACTAGTGAAAAAGCTAGAGGAAAAGGGCGGGAAAAAAAACAGGAAAGCGTTGCTATAGACAAAATACCTAAGGAAGGCAGCACGAGTCATGATACTGATGGGGTGCCCAGAGGGGTGCCTGGACGGCGGATTTCCCACGGGGGTCAGCCTGGACGGGTGCTTTTCCTGGTAATGGAATACATGAGGGGAAAAATGACTCAAAAAAGCGTCCCAATTTACAGACGTGAGAAATTAAGAGGAGAATTCGTCGGAGGAGAAAAGGGAGGCTACAGAGGGATTTGGACCGGCCGCAGACCTGGTCCAGCAACTGGCTCGTGGAGTTCAGCGCACCAAAATGCAAATCTGAAGATGGGGGAAGGGCAAAAAAGACCACAGACAGAAAAAAAGTCTGGGGGGCCAAAGACTACAAACCTCACTAAAGGAAACGGAATTGGAGTGTGTAAGTTCGTGCAATCTGAGGTGCACACAATAAAATAACTCTGCAGCATAGGGGCGACATGAACCAAAGAATAGTTTTCCGATTCTTTCAGGACCTGTTACCTTTACGTCAGGCCCCATTTGTAGTATGCGCACCAGTCTGGAACCCCACTTTTTAAAGCATATCAGGAAATTAGAGAAGGTGAGAAGTTTCCAACCATTTCCCGGACTACTGGGCATGTCCTACGGGGAAAGGGTTTAAAGGGGAAAATCGACCTGACGACATAGAGGACAGGAGAGAGAGAGAGGGGGGACGAGAGGAATTTAAAATGGACAGGACAGGTGTTCCAGAGATGGACACAGCAAAAAGAGGCCCACCTTCGAAATTTGACGATCAAACTGAGCAGGGGATGTCAGGAAGTTTTTCTTCAGTCTGGTTGTCGGGAAAATAGGGGAGGGGAGGCAGGTCCATACATAGCTTTAATTTGGGTATGATACAGCTCAGGAAAAGGAGAGAGGGGGGACTTAGTGGCGCCCATAAAGTCGCGAGGCCGGAGTATGACTCGGTCCCTGAAACCTAATTAGTGGTCACACACACAAGAGAGAGAGAAGGTTAACCCCCTGATGAAAGGAAAGAAGGAGAGCTGGGGAGGGGTTGTAATACGTAAAAATTACGAGTGGAACTGACGAGATGAAGAGGGCAGATTTTCAGAGAGGGGATACGGGATCAAGGGGGCACAACAAAAGTTGAAAATTTCAGATTAGTCATGGGGATGCAGAAAATGTACAGATAGATTTTGTTTTTAAAGGGGAACAGTCTGGAAAGGAAAAAAGAGGCATGATCCACGCATATTTTAGATGAAAAAGGCAAGACTTTTGGAGTCGGAGGGAATCTACTAGAAAAAGCCTGACTGGCGAAATTTTTCCCTAAATGAAGATTGCCAAATGTTTCACGAGTGTCTCATTTTCATCTCATCTAAAAAGAGACCTACAGTAAC